GCTTCTGAGCGCAGAAAGTTGGCGTCGAGTGCGGGGACTTTGACTCCCGCACCAAATCTGCCTTCGCTTTCGCAGCGAAGAAGGCATCGATGACCTCGCACTGCTCGCGTGGAAGAGGCCATTGTCTCGTGATACAGTACTTTATGCTAGGCACGAGATCGATCTCATGCTGTACGTCTCGATCTGGTGGAAGCTGGGTCGGTGGGTGTTTGTTCACCACGTCCGCGTACCCCGTCGCCAAAGGATACACCGGATCCTTGGGGTTCTTAAGGATCTCAGAACCCAAGCGCGTCTGACGCTGCTTGCTCAGCTCTCCCAGGACGTTCTCGTCTAAGAAAGAGGAAGAGTCCAACTCCTCCCCAGTAGCCTCTGGCCTTACGAGCACCATCTCGGCAATCTCCCTAGCCTTGAGGTTGGCCAGGAAAGACTCGGCCTTCATTTCTTTGAGGTACAGTATCTCTGCAACCTCTGGCAACGGTTCCAAATGCCTTGACGGGTAAACCGGTCTCGCCATCGAAGATGTGATAGCACTCTTCCACCGGCCGCGTCGGAGGCGCCCGGGCCCTGGACGCCGAGTCGCTTGAAGCGACGTCGATCTGAACAAGGTTCAAATCCGATTCTCGGCGGCGGCGTCGTCGTCGTCGACGGCGACCGTGACGTAAAATTTTGTTACCTACGTCTGGGGATGTCGTGGTGTCGACATCCGAGGCACTCGAGGCCTCGTGTGGTACTATGTTACCCACACAGGAAGCACATTCCGCGTCTTTCTCTTCAGTTAGATCTGGGCGACCTCGTGTGGCACTCTGTTACCCACCTTGGGCACGTTATTTCCAGCGTTCGTGACAGCTGCAGCTGTCTGCGGAACTATGTAACCCGCTTGTGGACCTAAGTTACCCACTTGGCCAGCACCTCCTAGCGCCGCCACAATCGACTCGTCCTCAAAGTCGTCATATACGTCGACGACTCCCAAGAATCTGCTGGACGCTTCGGTACCCTGGCAGCCCTTTGCACCCCGGGTCCTGACAGAGGTGGGCACATGACTCACCAATGCTCTGTCGGACTTCGCAGGGCGGCTGGCACCGATTGACTTGTCTCGCCAGTCGATCCAGGACTCGTGCTTCTCGAGCCAGGACATGCCCAGGATCAAATCGTAGGGATCCATGTCAAAGAACAGTACACTGTTCTGGGCTGTCAAAGTCTTCGAACTTGACGGCAAGATCCATTTGGACGTTGGGGGCAGCGACGACCTTCCCGTCGACCAGTCGCACTGACACCGTCCCGTTGCCTTTGCTTTCTCTCAAAGCTTGTTGCTATTACGAGCAACCGTCTGGCGACGCGAGAAATTCTTTGACGCCCCAGAATCGATCAAGATTCTAAGATGGTGATCGTATCTCCGTACACATCAGTGTGCTACGAGTAGCCCGCCGCTGCTCTTCGCCGATTCGAGAGTACAAAAACTCTCAGGGATTAGGTCCCCGTGGTACGCGCCACCCGCGTACCCATCGCAAGACTTAGCTCTTCCCCAGTAGGGCGCCCCGTCCCTACTGGTCTCCGGCGTGGCCCTGTCCCCGCGATCCTGACTTCTGCCAGCGACTCTTGAGGACGGTCTTGGGGAAAGTCCGCCTGCGGTGTCTCTCCACACTTGACGTGGCTCAGCTTCCCGCAGCCGAATCAGCGAGTGTCGCGCTGCTCGGTGGGCCCGAGTTCTATGGGATCTGGTCCGGTGGGGTTGGCCCGACCGGGATTCAGTACAAAATTCCCTGGTCATGCTGAGGCCGGCGTGTGCACCTGGCGATGGCTGTACCCTTCTTGAAGAGCCACTCGAATCGCCTCTTCGAGGGTGCTTGACTGCACCTGGAACAGCTGAGTGCTCACCGGGCCCACTCGAAGGCCGTCCATGAATACAGTCACCTTGATGTGCTCGTTGAGTGGGCTGCCCACTAGGGACACCGTAAGCTCCCGCATCGCTTGGACGTACTCATGCAGCTGGCTCCTTCTTTGCTTGCATGAGAGGAAGCGCGAACGCGGTAATCGTAGTTTTCCGAGAGGAACGCAGCCGAAGCTGTTCGCACACATGAGCCCAGGATGTGAAACATCCAGGCAATGTCGCCTTCCGCGTGTACACCCAACTTTTAACACGACCGCTAAGATTGGAGAGCGCAAAAGCAGCGCGGAGTTGCTCGGTCGAGATCAGAGCCGCGTCCATCGCGAGCTCTACCTCTCGAACTCAGATGTGAAGGTTCACGTCTTCCTTCCCTTCATACGGCTTCACCTTCAGCCGTATTGGCTGCGGGTGTGGCGGACTTGTTTCCGTCTCCGGAGACTGCAGGTCTTTCCGCACATGTGCGATGGGCCCTCGCCCATAAGCGTTAAACACATTGACACGCTCGAGCTGCTCGGCCGGTGTTGACGTCACCAGATTCTGCAGGGCCTCCATCCCGAAGATACCAGCCATTTTCTGAACCGAATCGAACTGTTAGTCGTTCGGATGAGAGAAGTTGTTCCTATCCATGGCTACGAGCTTCAAAAAGGTTCAGGTAGCCTACCCGCGTTGGCGTGGATTGACTACTAGCGATGAGCCCTCGCCCATAAGCGTCAAACACATTGACACGCTCGAGCTGCTCGGCCGGTGTTGACGCCACCAGATTCTGCAGGGCCTCCATCCCGAAGATACCAGCCATTTTCTGAACCGAATCGAGCTGTTAGTCGTTCAGATGAGAGAAGTTGTTCCTATCCATGGCTACGAGCTTCAATAAGGTTCAGGTAGCCTACCCGCGTTGGCGTGGATTGACTACTAGCGATGAGCCCTCGCCCATAAGCGTCAAACACATTGACACGCTCGAGCTGCTCGGCCGGTGTTGACGCCACCAGATTCTGCAGGGCCTCCATCCCGAAGATACCAGCCATTTTCTGAACCGAATCGAGCTGTTAGTCGTTCAGATGAGAGAAGTTGTTCCTATCCATGGCTACGAGCTTCAAAAAGGTTCAGGTAGCCTACCCGCGTTGGCGTGGATTGACTACTAGCGATGGGCCCTCGCCCATAAGCGTCAAACACATTGGCACGCTCGAGCTGCTCGGCCGGTGTTGACGCCACCAGATTCTGCAGGGCCTCCATCCCGAAGATACCAGTCATTTTCTGAACCGATCGAACTGTTAGTCGTTCAGATGAGAGAAGTTGTTCCTATCCATGGCTACGAGCTTCAAAAAGGTTCAGGTAGCCTACCCGCGTTGGCGTGGATTGACTACTAGTGCTACCCAGTGTGTCAGGTAGCCTACCCGCGTTGGCGTGGATTGACTACTAATGACTGGCCTCAGACGACCCTGGTACCATGTACCAGATATCCCAAAGTGTGACGTGTCACACTTCATGTAACTATGGTACACTTGGGGCTACGCTTCCCGTTTCAGCGCCTCTTAACCATACCAGCGAAAAGCTTACCCTGACAACAACCCATTCGCATGTGGTGGCTGCATGCAAACGCGAACAGCTATTCGCAACTATTGGTACGTACCAATTTTATAGGTTTGTCAGTCTATACAGTACTATTTACTGCTGGTTTGACTGTATCGAGTTATTAACGGTAGCTAAATACTAATCATATATATAATAAATTTACCAACTATATTCTGAAAGTAGTCTTTTTTCACACTTATTTACGAGGGCGGGCTGCCATTTTTAGCGCCTAAAAATATCGGCAAAATCTCCAGGATAGCTGTACAGTACTGCAACCCGTTTTCGCGCTCTGAGCCCTTTAATATGTGATGATACTAAATTCAAATAACGGAAAGTTTGTATGCTAAAACCTAATTTATTTGCAAAATCTATAAGATCCACCCCCGCGAAAACGGGGTGCAGTACTGTATTAAAAAACTATGATCCATTATTACATGCATTATGCATTGATAGGAATAAAAAGTGGTCTCACGAAGCTATGCCTATCGAGTGGATTGTCTGTACGTGGAAACGGAATTCTGAGAGGCGTGAACAGGGATTAATGATAACTCCAAAATCGGTGAATTAAATATTGTGAAAATATCACCAGTAGACCAGTTAATAAAAAAAATACCTAATTTGATCTTCTTAGACAAAATGCTATTTTAAAATATCAGCTTAATTTTTGTTAAGCAGATAATATTATATTTTTTAAAGATTCCGTAATCTGTTTAAATCCACCAACCAGATGTCGTTAACCTGAAGTACTACAGTACTAATCAACTGTGAAGGAGATGGAGTGACGACGTCGTGTGTTATTAATAGCACTGCTGAGCGCATTAATCTAGCGTTGCATGCTGTAGGGTTATTAGACGCACGATGTGGACGAGGCTATCGGTAGAGAACAAGAACAAATACGTTGATTTCGCTCTATCGACATTAAACAACTGCAACCGTTTGCAGTTTTCCATCTCGATCGCCTTTGTCAGTGTCACAGTGAAATACTAGAGCAAATACTCGTCCGTTTTAAAGCGTACTGGTGCTCTAGAGCCTAACCGAAAGAATTCTTTTGTGAGCCCTCGTAGAGAGTAAGGTGACAAGAAACGTACTTCAGTAGGAAATAAGATAAAATATTATCTAGCATCTTATATTTTGTAAATCTCCGAGTTAAAATTAAAATAATATGCTAACTTTTAAAAATCTGTGCCCAAAAAAATCAAAATAGTACTGCTACAGCAAAAAATATTAAATGATACTACTACCGGTAGTAGTATTTGGTTACTGGGCACAGTGTTTTGCTCATCATCTATCATTGCCGCCTTTGTTATTTTGAAGCTGACGCTTGTTTTAAGTAAGCGTCGTTCGTCCTTCCGACATTCAGGCCAAGAATCTACTACTACGTAGTACATGTACTGTAGTACATATAGTTCAGTATAATAAGTGTTGTCAATTACTCTTTAGTAACATCACTAACATTTTCGATTTAGCAACGAGCTTCTAACTTACGAACATCCACCCAGCCCACTCGCAACGCTACCTATCGCGGCGTACAATACCAAAGTCGTGTTTCGTTCACACACACTTTCAAATTGTCAATTAATGCTACCAACATAATAGGACATGGCCTCTGCGCGTGGTTGTACATCGAGGCCCCAACACGCTTACAGCACCGAGTTCTTATCGTCGATAGTGAAGATCTCGCCGGGCAGTTTGTCGTCCTCCTTCCTTCGCTTCATGTACACAGCGCCCAACACACCGATGCAGGCGCAGGCGCCGAGAGACACGTAGAGTAGCGTGTAGTCGGTCGAGGACTCCTCGCCCTTCTCTTCCTCGGGGTCACCAGTCGTGAATTTAACCTGGTGTACGTCGAAGCCCTTCTGAACGGGCGAGGGCGTACTGGAACCAGATTTCGAGTCCGAGTCGCTGTCGACGCCGTACTGGTGGCCGTTCTGCTCCTCCTGCTCCTGCTCCTGCTCCTGCTGATGAGCGTTGCCGGCGTTAACCATAGCCACGCAGAGCGCGGCGGCGACGAAAAGTGTCTTGACGAGCTGCATATTCTACTGTTGAGGGTTCCTGTAGAGCTGTTCTAGAAGTGTGGTTGAGCGAAATGCACACACAAACTAAGCTGGTTCCCAGCACGCGTCCAATTGGATAATGGTCGATACAAAACAGGGGAACCACGGGAGATTCGGCACCGATCAAAGCATAGGATAGATCATAGGCTGGTGAACAGGAGGCAAGAGCCTTGCCAATCTGCATCCCTGGCTGGTGAGGAACTGAAGCGAAAGTCTTGAGTTGCGGTTAAACCGTTTAGGTTGCTTTAAAAAAGCTTAATGTTGCGACAAGCTGAAGCTAAGGTGCAAGATCTGACAATTGTTTCCTAAAAATTGTCTCATTGCACATAGACCAAGTGTGAAAATCGGCTGTAGGCGAAATGCAGCATTTCAAATGCTACTTCGAGCGATCTTTTTTTTGCTTGCAGGTCCGACCTGGACAATTTCATTGAAACCAGTTTTAATAATTTATATGTTTCTGTTAAAATAGCTTCAGCAAGTGTGGCACGAAGCTATCCCTTTAAAAAGGGGCGTACATGTCTAATACAAGACGGTATCCAAGTGTTTTGCCTGTACAGGCTTGACACGCTTCGCACTCGAGCGCTTACCGTACATGAATTGTAAACCTGGGCTCATTCGATCTAACGTGCAATTTGACGACAGTGTAAATGATGGACTCCACCGGTACGGCTACCGGTACATGAAGCTCATGTTCCTGCACAACCAGGTAGAGTTCTGTAAAAGGGATCATACTATGATTCATAGATCCGCAATCAAGGTCATGTACTCTTGGGAGTCATTACTGAACGTTTATTATAAGTTCGACAGACAACAGGCAGTTAAATGTGCTCAAAATATAAATGTGCTCGCGTTCTTAGAAAATGATATTTCGAAAACCACCGTATCGCATCTCTTAAATACGTTTGCTACAGTCTTGTACATTGTATTTCTACGTACATGTATTAATAGTAGATATGCGGGGTTGGAGCTTTTTAATAGCGACTCGATGCAACACTAGCCAGGCTCATAGATACCCCGCATTATCTTAGCGTGATATTTATCGCATTTAATCTAATGTGCATTTATTTTAAAAAGCATGTCGAGGGTTAAATGTGCAGCTCTACTCACAGTCATTTAAACGTCAATTTTAATTACAGTACAGGTACAAAGCTCAAAATATTGATTTCGGGTGCAGTAATGAAAATTATTTGATCGATGTTAGAGTCACACAATGGTTATGTGATTTCGTACTTAAGTGCGTATGAATGTCACCATATTCGGTTGTGTACCTACGACAAAGGCACAAAGCCACACAAAGAGAATAAAATACCGAATTTATTTCCATAATTTCATCGCTTGTAGACATTATTGAGGCCATCCAAGTGTGTGGACGTGGTTGCGCAATCGTCAAATGTCGTGCGAATGTCGAAGGAATACGATGAAGTCTGCCTGTTGCCAGATTATACACATGACTTGGCATTTTTTCGCAAGTGAGTCCGTGAGTCCGATGTGGAAGTAAGGAAATCAACGTTAGTCCGTGAGTCCGATCTAAAAGTAATGAGATCAACGGAGGCCCTAATGACATTCTGATGTATAGCTTCATGTACCAGAAAGTGTTGAACATCGTAAAGAAACCCGGTTGATGCATGAAATGAATTAATTACGCAACTTTTGCAGTGTGCTAACGTATCTCCTAAACATGCAGTGACTTCAGTAGATATCTCATCCTGTAGTACCGAAGGAGTGCCTTCGATGGCGACTTCGGGAGAGCGACGTCACGCACAATGCTCTCAAAAAACAGGAGAACAAGAGGTCTGCAATTGTGTCCATCTGTCTGCTTCAGCCACACTTCTCGTTTCCAATCCATTTTGGCTACTATCTCTGGAAAGATTTTCTTGACAATGTCTTCACACGTTTCAAGTTGCTTTGGCTTCTGTTGGGGGTCAAATACTGTGATCCGGTTTGGTGTGGACTTGAAGTCAAAGACTGCACCGCACCATTGGTTTCTGTTGATATGAATTGGCAGCAACACATGCGTGTTGTGCTCTAGGAATGGATCGGAGCCGCTGATGACCTTCTCCTACGTTTCAGGGTCATCCGTACCGGTAACGCCTGGCGAAATAATACCAACGTGTGCATGCTCTTCTTGGATACTGCTGCATACGTGCATCATGCAGTCGTCGTTCCGCCATAGGTCTTCTCTTAGTAGCAGAACGGATTCATTCGAGACCATTCCGAACGGTGTCAAGCGTGAGATTGGCAAGACAATCTGCTGCAGCGCTGTGGTAGCCTTGGTCTTATCTAGTTCAACATACTCATTGAGACCTTCTGGAATATCCAGTCTATTTAGCGACGTAGCTGCCATCCACTCAATTGTATCAGACACTGCCTCCAAAGACTTCATCGTGTGATGGTACTCCACCATTACTTGCACTTGGTCCTCGCTGATAACCCCGATCTTAGCGAGACGAACACCTACGGGTGACTTCGGATCTGGTAGTGCCTCTCTGTACGTTTCCAAAAAAATTCATGCGTGAATTGCTCGGTGAACACGAACTTGACGCTGCTCAGGGCCTCACTGGGGGCTACCATCTTCGCTATTACTTGTTTTCTGGGGCCCACCGTCTTTACCGATAATTTGGAGAGGAACTCGTATGTGGATTCGTAACTGTATGTCGACTTCAACACTGTGGCCACATTGCTTAGCGTGATAACCGGCGTCAACGTCCCTTGAACGAGCTGTTTGGCTTCCTTCAGAGAGTTCACCATTCGTTGCTTCTTCACCTGTCGTTTCTGGTTCTTTCGTCTCTTGGGCTGACCGCGGCTTTTGGTGCTTTTCGAGACGAAGAATGAGCATTCCTCACTTGAACTGGAGCTGGGATGTCCGCTATCTGAAAGCGCTCTCTTTGCTGGAGGTGCTACTTGTTTTGTCTCGTCATAGCTCGAATGTGATAGCCCCACAATACTCCGCTCGTCCCGCATCTCAGATTGATCGGGGAAACCTTGCGCATCACTCGTCACTTCGTCGGAGTGACTGGCGCCTCCAGAGTGACTGTTGCTATCCGTTACCTCTATCGTGTGACCCGTGTGACTTGAACAAGGTGACACATCACGTGAGTGACTTGGTGATTGAGCCACCATAGGCCCACCGCGACCCAAAGTATCGTCAGGCTCCTCGAGGTCGCCCTCACGCTGTATCTCATCCTCATTGTTGTAGATAGCGTCGGCGATTGAAGTTGGAGGCTCACTGGTGTCACCGGAATTTGCTGCTCCACCGTCATGTATCTCAGAAATCTGCGAAATAGGATCCAGCTGAGAGAGCCGATCTGGCCATACAGAAACGAAAGGTGCCTCTCCATCCGTTGCAATGGACTCAAAGCGCTTAAGACTTTCCAGCATCTGGATAAACACCATGATATCTGGGTGGATGTGCTTGACTGGAATGGGGCTTTTTCCACAAAGTAAACGCCAGTGTATAGCATGACGACAGGGAAGCAGCTCTGTCCTCATGAAAATACACGAACAGTGATACGTCTGTCAAGTCAGAATAACCATTCAATAAGTATTGATACCATTCAGCCATTGTGGACAAAACAATTCACGCACCCTAGTATCAAGATGATACTTTCGACTCGTGTCAGCTGCTGACACCATCTCGATCATGTAAGATTGTAGTTCGCGCGTTGTATACGTAGTCTTGCGATCATTAGCAACGCGATACTGCTTTTTCACCAGTTCGTAGGCGTGCTGACTAACCTCTTTTGATAACTTGCATCAGCTCCAGCGTAACGCATGTGTCCAACGTCTGTCATTTTCTTCGCATACTCCATCTCCGCGATAGACTGCAAGAACTGCAGAGTATCCACGCACCCATCGAGCGCCATCGTAGACTTCAGCACGTCCTTCAAGTGGCCCCATGCCGCCTCCAACCTAAGTCGTTATACAAGTCAACAGTTAGCAATTAGATCTTGAGACAGCACAAAAACGCCTCAGTACCTGTTGTTTGTCGTGTTTCCCAAATGAGGGACGTCTACACGACCAAATCCACTCCACATGTGTCTGCAATTGTGCCAATTCTCGTGGAAGTACTTCAGAAATGGGTGTGTTGAGTCCTCTGGAATATCTTCTTCGAGTGTAATTTGCTTTCCATCAACCACGTAGTACAGATATCTACGACTCGTTTCTTACTCAAGCTCCGTCTTGGCGCTCACCATCAGGTGAACGGCGTCCTCAACCTTATCCCCATCTTCAATATTATATTATACTCCCTCTTTGCCATTCCCCCCCGAAGATACTTCACCCCATGAAAGACACAGAGTAGAATTCTTGCTGCAGGAAAAGCCTCCTGCAGAAGCGCAATTGTTCCAAAGTCTTTGTCAACGATAATCCCTCGAACTTGGTCCCAGGTTGAGTTAAATGATTTGAACGATTTCACTGCATGTCCCAAACAATCAGCACTTTCGTTCTCCATGAGTGCATGCTGCACGTATTGCCCCTGTACACAAGCAACCACAAAGAGGTACACAATTGTAGCAATGGCACACAACCACAGTAAAGTTACATAAAGACACACAAATGTACACGGGCACAGTAGAGTCACACAAACCAACACAGAGGTACAATTAGAGTCACACAATCGACACAGCCACCAAGAGAGTACTTACATGGCCGAAGACATCGTGAATCATGAAACTGAAGAGCTTGTATCGAGTATCGCTGGTGTTGTGAGTGGCGTCCACCATCAACACCTGTGGGAACGCCTCAAAGAATCTTCGCATCTGGTGGGTTTGAAAAAGTGATCGTCTGAGCTAGCTTCTCGTCATCCACATAAATGGTCGCCGTATTACCCTTTCGAGAGCAGAAATCGCGCAAACCAGACTCCAGTCTTGCCTCGACGGTTGTAGCTCCACGCCGCGCCTCTTTCAGCTTCGCCACAAGATTGTGCACATCACGCAGGGTAACATGCTTGCCTATTAACCAGGCATTAGAACCAAAACAAGCATAATAACAAGGATACAATCATGTAGCGTACCAGTTTTCTTCCTCAGAAACTGCAGAATCAGCTTTTTCTTCGCCCCGGCAGCTTGAAGCTCATCCACGAAGTCAATCACGTCTTCGTCTGCAACGCGTCGATTTGAGGGGTGCTTTCCATAAGATCCTGAGCTTAGTGAGTGGTTGTGCGCTGTCTCCTGGTGCACTTGAATACCCTGAGCAGCATCCCAAATTACGACGACCGTCATCTGCGCTTGACATCCGGTAGACTTCACGAAGTAGTTATGCCTCTTGCCCTTTGAACGGCTGGGCCTTGACCAACTATGCGTGCACACCAGCTCTGGGTAGTACTTGTCGAAAGCGTCTGGTATAATGGTCTGCGGGGTGTCCTTACCACGGTCTCGGAGACCCGCGCTTCTCGCCGTGGCGCTTGTAGAGGTCCTCTTCTTGAATATCTGGTGGGTTTTGTGCTGATATGCGTCAAAATACTCGAAAAACGCACCCCAACGCCCGAACGTCTCCTCATCCATACGTGGGGCTCGGGCGACAACGGCGACAGATGTGGGGACGTGGACCTCCAGGGATTTGGCTTCACTGGTCTCGGCGTCGGGCTCGGATGCCGACGCGACGCTCGCCATGCTGCTTGTCCTGCTTTTCGCGCCTCTTTTGAAATGAAAGGCCCAGAACGAGTTGGGAGGGGTGAAAGGGGGGATGGAATGTATTTCTACTTTTGATGCTGACTGATTTGTCAGGATTTTATCCGTCAGGAATTTTTTTCTTACCGACAATTATTGTGTGACTTTATCCAGTTCCAAACTAGATCGTCTGCGACTCATGGCAAAACGACGATATGCCAATGCAGCTGAAGATGAGTTATCTTGTACAGGAAAACCTGATGCAATTCAGGCCACTGCAGCGCAAGAAACAAAGCGTCAACGAAAAGCTCAGTACCGCAACGGGACCTCCGATGAAGCTTGAACATGACGTGAAGAGACGCAAAACCAGCTAAGCGTTGGCAGTTTTGGTTGATACCAAATACATTGCCCAGCCTTTAATTCTACTTTGCTATTGACAATTATGCTAACAACCGTATCAAAAAAAACTAGCCATCTTAATGTTAGCTTTCCGAACCTTTTTTGTCGAAGAATGTCTGGGATCACCTCCCAGTCGCAGGGGGTCCCCCCGCAGAGACAGCAAATGTCGACATATTTTTAAAAATATGTATTCCCAGTGTAGACTGTAAATTGCAGATTGCCGTTGATGTTGATTCCAACTGTATGGTCAATTTCCTTTATCGTTACGTACAGTTTGTCAAATCAAACAACAATTTGTTACTTTAACGGTAAGGGTCATTTTCCTTCATGTTTACGTAAAATCTTGAGCTAGCTGTTGCTGGTACGTATATCCAACGGCGGCTGCACATGCATCTGCTCCAATTAGCTCAGTGGATGGACGAAAAGATGCTAAAAAACCAAAGACTTACATCGCTGCAGCCATCGCCGCCTGCGCTCTCACCGCCACCAACGTCGCCGCTGACGGAGCCACTGGCGCAGATTGACAAACCGAAAGAATAACGTTAGCATTAGCCCGCTCAAAAAAACATCATCCGCTTCTCCACTTCTTCTACTAACCAACTCAATAATAAAGACTTACATCGCATCTGCCATCGCCGCCTGCGCTCTCACCGCCACCAACGTCGCCGCTGACGGAGCCACTGGCGCAGATTGACAAACCGAAAGAATAACGTTAGCATTAGCCCGCTCAAAAAACCATCATTCGCTTCTCCACTTCTTCTACTAACCAACTCAATAAAGAAAGAATAACGTTAGCATTAGCCCGCTCAAAAAACCATCATCTGCTTCTCCACTTCTTCTACTAACCAACTCAATAATAAAGACTTACATCGCTGCTGCCATCGCCGCCTGCGCTCTCACCGCCACCAACGTCGCCGCTGACGGAGCCACTGACGCAGATTGACAAACCGAAAGAATAACGTTAGCATTAGCCCGCTCAAAAAACCATCATCTGCTTCTCCACTTCTTCTACTAACCAACTCAATAATAAAGACTTACATCGCTGCTGCCATCGCCGCCTGCGCTCTCACCGCCACCAACGTCGCCGCTGACGGAGCCACTGGCGCAGATTTACAAACCGAAAGAATAACGTTAGCATTAGCCCGCTCAAAAAACCATCATCTGCTTCTCCACTTCTTCTACTAACCAACTCAATAATAAAGACTTACATCGCTGCTGCCATCGCCGCCTGCGCTCTCACCGCCACCAACGTCGCCGCTGACGGAGCCACTGGCGCAGATTGACAAACCGAAAGAATAACGTCTTTTTGCTTTTTCCAGTCTAATCACATACTAAGTACGATATTTTGGATGTTGTCCGAACGTTGACCCATTTACGTTACGCTCACGCAATTAATCCTGTGTGGGCTGTCCATTACTCATTCTGAGGTATTCCCAGTATTATTTATCTGCTGGTTGCAGTGGCCCAAGAACTGCCACTGCAACTGATGGACCAACCGACCGAGGTCATTTGTGTGGACAACAAATGTTTTAAAAATAGTCTCTGGGTACTTTGCATGATACGCTTAGTATTGCATTGCATTATCCTCGCACATCAAACTCTCGATCTCCCCTATATTTTTATCTGTTTTCAGGAATTCTTGAGCAAAACAACGGGAAAGAGAAAAAATCGTTACACGTGCATTGTACTCCGCAAGGCACAAATGCTGACGAAACGCTGTGACCTTGCAGCGTGCCGCACCCTTTGTCATCTTCAGCAGCTGTGTATATAACACTACAATGTGGTCAGCGACGCCTTCCAGTATCTACCTGCGTGAGTTGTTACGTCTGCGCTCGCCATAGCTATTGTTGCTTCTGTGCGGTCTTGTCGGCAAGGCTTCGTTCAAGCGTGCGTAGCCTTTCCCGGAGTTCCTAGACCGTGATGAGCCTCCTCTGTTGCGATTCTTCTTCCCTCCTTTGGAAGATCTGTCGTAGGAATAGTAGTCTTCATCCTTATCGTAGTAGCCATTGTAGTCCGGGTACTCGTCCTCCACGTCGCGACCTCGTTTACGCCCAGTGACGCGCCGTCCGTTGTTCCCCGAATCGTAGCAATCAGCAGCAAAGTGGCCAGGTTTCCCACACTTAAAGCAGCTGCCTCCACCTCTCGTATAGCCATTCGACCGCACCGGACATTCGGCCGCAATGTGACCAGCCTCGTTACACACAAAGCACGTCTGAACGGTGCGTCCACTAGCCGTTCGAGTGGCAAAGTTGGTCACAGTAGGCTCCAAGTACGTGTCGCATCGGTCGAGTGTGTGGTTCTCTCCACAGTTCGGACAGTACACACTTCTATCGGCTGGAGGAGGGATCGGTACACAGTGCAGGTGACCCACTTCCGTACACACCATGCACGTCACTTGTGCTGGTTCTTCGACGTTGTCGCAGTCGACGTCAATGTGTCCAGGACGGCCACACACACCACAAGGGTCGATACTCAGTCTTCGGTTATCGCAGTCCTGTCATCCACATCACATACAGTGTCAGTATTGCAGTTATCACTCGGTTTAATGCCATATTAGACGCACCCTCTCTTGATGTCCCAGTTGACGGCAGTTGCCACACGGCAGATTGGGACATTCCCACGCCTGGTGTCCTCGTAGTGCGCAGTAGTAGCATGGAAGCTGCAGCTTGTCGTTCATACAGACGGTGGCCATGTGGCCCACCTCACCGCAGTGGAAGCACTTGGTGGCCAGGTCAGTGACGAAGTATCTACTCTCCTTACGTTTGCGTCCGTCCTCGTTCCTCTTCTTCTTCTTGCTCTTCTTCTCCTTGGTATCAGCCTCGTCTTGATTTTCATCCTCTTCCTTCTTATTGTTCGACTTGGCGTCGAACAGAGGAGCACCGACCTGCATTTTATTGCTCTCGTTCTGTTGCTGCACCTCCTCCGTAATCTCCTTCTCCACTTCCACATTACCCGCGTTGCCGCGGTGTCGCGAGCTAAAGTCGCTCAGAATGAAGTCGTTTAGTGGCTCTAGTGGCGGCTCCTCGAACACCGGAATCTTGCGCTGACTGGCGGGCACCAGGAAGCGCGCTTGTGCCCATTTGGACAGCGTGACGCCAACTCTGGGCTTTGGGGATTCCTCGGCGTCATCATCATCGATTACGGTAGGTGTCGGAGTCTTCTGATTCTCAATGTCCGAGTTAACGCTAATTGGTTCGCCCACATCGTCGTCTGAGTCCCAGCGCGACGCTGTCTGATTCCGTGATGTCTTGGTTTCCTTCACGCGCGTTGGCTGTACGAAAGACGGCGCCGAGCGGTGCGCTCGCGGGTTCGATGGGTCCATTACGTGCAGTAGCTCCTCGTCGCTATCCGACGACTCGCTCATATCGCTGAAGGCGTCGAGCACGCCCGCGTTTTCGCCCCGCATCAGGTGCCTTATTGCTTGACTGCCAATGGTTGACCTAAAAGCGACCCAAAAGACGTCATCTCGTTTCATTGGTTGCAAATTTTGATGAATCTATTATATTGGTTGAATATTAAATTTCGTTAATAGAACACGAAATATCCCTCTAATAGAGCGTTATCGAGGGGTAACCATCACTCCTGACCCGGTTCCGCATCCATTTTTGCTGCCATGGCGTCGATCGATGAGCCGCTGGACCTGATCAAGCTGAGCGTGGCCGAGCGCATCTACGTCAAGTGCCGCGGAGACCGCGAGCTGCGTGGCGTGCTGCAGGCTTACGACCAGCACCTGAACATGGTGCTGAGCGACGTGGAGGAGACCATTACGGTACAGGAGCTGGACCCGGAGACATACGAGGAGCTTATCAAGCAGTCCAAACGCACTATCGAGATGCTTTTCGTCCGAGGAGATGTCGTGATTCTCGTGGCACCACCGCTACGCACTGGTTAATCGCCCTACAGTCCTCGGAACTCTTAAAGCTGCTTACAGTATCCATCTGTCCATTTCTTTCTGCTCTGTTTTCTCTTCATTTTCGACGTGACTTGTCCATTTTCCTAAGATTTATCTATTACTACAGGACCGTATTAGTACTTAGTCTACACGGAGACTTCATTGCGTTTGTAGTCGTCGCTCAAAGTCTTGGATGGACATCTCGACGTCGTCTGTGTCGTCTCTGAAGGGAACTCTGCTACGATGTCTCTGGGAGTGACAGGTACTGGACAAATTCGAAGCCGATCCTGCGCGGGAGGAGCTGCTATTGCGCGTAGAGACTTGTGGAATGGGACCACTACGCTGCCACGCTCGCTTCCGTCTTGGCGGAGTCCTGTCGCGTTTATCAAAGACCCACTTGTTCTCAGCTCGAAGCGTGGCTTCTCGAGCTTTGGCTTTTAGCAGGTTGTTTCTTCGGTCAGCGTCGACTTGTTCGCGGAGTCTCCGCCTCACGTTGATGTCGTAGACATAGTCCACTGGCTCTGTATGCGCCTTTGCTCGCCTGCTGAATTGAAGTGGTGGCGGCTGATTACGCGAGGACTGACAGTCGACAGGGTGTATGTTCGCTGACGAGGATGATGCATTTCGTCTTGTAGCTCGTATGCAGTAGGCTCGAGTGGGGTTAGTGGATAAGTTGGGGTGTTTTCTTCTGTTGGAAGTAGTGATAGCTGGTGGAACAAAGTCATTCGGGATCTTGACGACGTTGCCGAATGCTGTGCGAGAAGCATCGTTCTCGGCGCTTGACGGATAGACCCCAAGATGAGAAGGATCGTAGGATATTCGTTCTTGTTTGGCACTTGGCGACGTACTTGGTCCTCCATCGTCCAGATTCCTGAAAGTCCATCCCATTGACTCGGTAAATCGATCCAGATCTGCAACATTTTGTTGTCACATCCAATGACAAGGAAAAGCACTATAGATTTACTAACCTTTCATGCATTGTTGCGCTTGATTTAGAGCAGTCATCGGGTCGGGAGCAAACGCTGTGTCGATTATTGACAAGCGTAGGTGGCACCTGATGAAGAAGCGATTGCAAGAATTTTGCTCATGTGCAATGATATTTTTAGTGAACTACGCCCGAAAAAAAGCTCTATTCCCGGCCTCTAAAATAAAGCGTTCCTTGTATTCATCAACAAAAAATTATCACTTTGACGTGGCTGTTCACGTCGAGTTTATGGCTCGGCAGTGGGAGCTATTGCTGTGTGTGTGTAAGGGGCTTTCAGGATTTGACGGGTTCACTGTGTTGTTATTACCGGTCAAAAGAGCTCATGTGAAGTTCACATGAGCTCTTTTGACCGGTAATAACAACTTTGACCGGTAATAACAACGCTCGTCGACAAATTATTAACACTTCAGCCATCTCAGCCACTACTGATCACCAGGGATTGGTAGTCTTTTCAGTAATATGATTCTGGAGTACTACTTTAATTACTACTATTAACATAGTAGTCATATAAATATCAATAAGCTGGTTTTCACTTTTGGTAGTAGTATCACTCTCAAAAGTGAGTAATATACTACTCCTGGGGTACTATTTTCAGTAGAACCCTCATCGAGCAATGCCAGTCCTGATTTGGCCATTTTCGTGTGTGTGGCTCTCGTTGCAGCGGGAAAGATCGCCATTTCTAAAGAGAATAGCAAGTGAATCGAACTACCCACTCCGCAGCTAAGAATGGGATGCTATGTGGAGGGTTTTCAGGAAGGCGGCGAGCTTAAAACGGACCCGTGCACTGTGTGTGGTAAGCATATCCATCACCTGTGTGCTATTGGTGTCTATGAAGGCTGTGATTCGGCGTTGAACGAGAGGTATTACAAGCAGCTATATTTTGCTTAATAGCGGATGGGCATTAACAATGACTTATCTGCAGGTTTTGTAGTCATCCCTGCGTTCATATTGTGCATCTGCCGGTCGAGCTACCTCCCGCAGCCTCGACCGCTGGAAAGTGACGTCTCTCGGCGGAGAAGTTAAGCAAAATTTGGGCTGGATCTAACTCCGATTTTGTCCCGTCGACAATTCTACAAGTCGGTGTTGGTGCTGAGCGCTCTGTAAAGAGGCGCAAAGTGACTAGCAGCTCGACTTCTACTGGTAAAACCAAGACTGTTTCTTCATCAACGTTGAAGACTGGCACAACGAATACTCAACCGATGAGGATTAAAAAAAACACCGGTGCGATTGCTGTAGCTCCCGAGACAGAACCAGCTTCCCCAGTGTCAGATCTTGGTGTACCGCTTTCTGTCAAACATTCCAGAAGGACAGGAACTACCGACGATGTGTAGAATCTAATTCACACACTGGAAGCCCCCTACAGGAAGAGGAACCCGTGGAAGTCGTCGACAACACTGTACCAGAATGTCTGTCTGTTGTGTCTGCAGGCAGCTCAGTCGCGGACTAAAGCAAACCGATACAGCTGGGAAGAGGCTTTGCGTAATACGAAACATGCTAGTAACGCGAAGGACCACATCAAGCTGAAGCATGCGAACCACCCCCTGGCGATTTTGGCGGAGCAGACCGCGACTGAGAAGTCAAAGAAGGATGCATTGGCTGCTGAATCAGATACACAAGCTGTCCTCGACCTATCGCGTGATCCTGAACATGAGATTACTACTCTATCTGGTGGCACTACTACTTTTGATAATACAGAGTTGGAGAAAGTGGGCACGACGTCAAAGGATTTCTTCAGAGCGAGTGAAAAGACCCTGAACGTCTTGATTTCCAAGTTTCTTATCTCGCAGGGGCTGCCATACACCGTGTGTGCATCCTCGGATTTCCACGACGTCATGCGCACAGCGACAGAGAACCCCGCCTTTCAAATTTTGGGACGTGATCGACACGAATGTCTTCTGAACGGTCAGTTCCAGCTATTTTGCGATCTATTAGGTGTGCTACTATCTACAGAGTTTGAGAAAGCTTGCCGACTCAAGTTCCTCAATCTGATTTATGATATTTGGGCAGGTTGTAGCAAGAACAGTATTGTTGGTACGTCCGTAGCCTTTATTGATAGTCTGTGGTGATTCCGGCTCATCGCCGTACTTGCTTGTGTCAAGAACGATGGTCACAGCGCTCCGGGGGTTGCTAAAGTCATTGAGAGCGCGTTTAAGGCAAGGTTCAATCTTGATATTCGATGTATGACTCGCTTTACGATGTCAGACACGACTCCTTCGGCGAAGAACGTTGCGGATCACATCGACACGGAGCAGGAAAGCTGCTCTATGCGTCTCTTGAACCTCTGTATTAGATATGGAATTGGACTGAAGGACAATATTCAGACAAACACTGTGTGGAATGAGGAGACCAGCTCTTGGGACAAAATAGTAGCTACAGTGACTCCTGGAGGTGCATTGAGTGAAGAAGGCGATGTAATTTGGAAGTTCCGCAATTTAAACACCACTTCAAATCATCGAAACAGCGAGTCGCTCTGAAGAAGATCCAGGAGGCACTTTCCTATCCAGAACTGGAGCCGATGACTGACCAAGACGTGCGAGTCACATATACGTGCAAACTGGTTCGCAGATCAGTGGTCAACTATTCCGCTTTCGACGCATATTTTTAGTCTACAAAAGATAGCTCTAGCGTCTGGGCAGCGCTTATCGCTAAGGACTGGATGCTAGCTGTCGAGATGGAGGCGCCACGAACTTTATATGCTACCTTGCGCTGGTAGAGACGCAGAGTGAGAACCTGGTGTCCTCATGCATGGTCGTATTCAGGCGAATCGCGGAAAAAAAGTTGAAGTTCTTTAAGTTTGAAACCATGGCCATCGAAGCACCCATGGCCAAAGATGCAAACGAGGCAAGTCATCGCCGTGTTGTGAGGACTCGTGATCGGTTTTCGGAGGCTGGTAGGACGTGTTTGCGATGAACTTTGCTGCAACTGCAGGCCCGTTTTTTTCAAGGTATCCACAGAGTCGATGGCGTTTGTTCTGCTTGATCCTAGAACAAAATATAGTGCTAAGAAGATTGCTGCCGTGGGTAACATTTTACGCACGGAGGAGAAGGTCATTTACAAGAACGGTGTTGATTTCCTTCGTGCAGAACACCGAAAGGTTTTCGCTCAGATGATAAAACAGGGGAAAATCTCGCTGTCACAGCAATCGTTGTCCCAAAGTAGCATCTTGAGCCAAGATTCATCACCCTTTTCCTCACCCGCGTCAACGGGTTGGGAAGACGCGGACGAGCTGCTACTAGGGGCACCTATTCAAGCCACCAAGACGAGAGATGAGGTCTAGGAGACCGAGATCAATACCAGATCGGATGCTGTCGTGCGAGAATGGCTCGATTTAGAACCGGGGTGGCTGGAGATCGCCCAGCGCCAGAATCCGATCTCAAATTCGAAGAATTGTCGAAGGACATTTCGATTGACGCGCAAGAAGGTATGTATTACTCTGTACTGGGTTTGTATAAGCACATTGACGTGATGAAGTGGTTCCACGATGAGGGCGAAATTCAGTTTTCCTCCATTGCTCTGTTTGCGCGCATCCACCTCGGTAAAATTTCTTCGTCGGCGTTTCAAGAGAGAGTTTTTTCAACGGGAGGCATAATAATGGGTCCACTCAGGACCAGGACAGACAGCCGACGCGTCGAAAGACAGCTTCTACTTCGGCACAGCAGGAGCGAGATCTTGAAGATGAAGCAGGACTCACGCAAGACAACGGAGGCGTAAATAGTAGTTTCGATAGTATGCTAATATCACTACTACTACTACCGGTTCGAATAAGCGCTACACCGTTCGGTAGACCACAATTAGTCTGGGTTGACTAGTTAGCGTGAACGGTGTACAGTACTTGTTTCGATATTCCCCTACCTCCGGTGGCCCGGTAGTACCGGTACTACTACTACCGTTTTTTTCTGGGTTCTACTAACCACCACGAGCTCGATGCATGGCGTCTATTCTCCCAGCATCGGATAGCACAGCACCGAATGGACTTGAAAGAACTCACCCATTATCGGCAGCAACGGGTGCAGGCAATTGCATAAGTGGCGCCCATTCTACAGACACTTTATCATGCTACTTTGTAGTATTCGAGCATTAACAAAAGCTGGATCTGAAGCCTCGCGGATGAGCAAGTCAAATCTGCGTGACCTCATCGTACAACAGGAAGCTTGAATACTTAGTAGAGGATCATCGTGCAAAAATCCACCACCATGGGTGGAACGGAAGAATAGCTTCGTCCGGTGTCTGGGTCAATCATAATGCTCCGGTAGTTATGGGCTGACTGGATGGTTGTGGTCTCACAATCAGCAAGTGTGGTTACGTCGGTAGCACTCAGTCTCCTTCATGCTGACTCTCTCTCTCTCTCCAGCGTTCTATAGCTTGTGGAAACACACAGACGGGTAAAAATCAACCGTGTCGTGGCTTTCGACGAACGCGCGAAGTGTTTGGCTTACCCCTGCAGACCAAATTTCCTTAGAACCAAAGTACGTGTAGCAGCACAATAAATATCCATCGTCTCAGCACAACAGCTCTATTTGTTCGGAACGTACTCGTGCCAAGCGTAGCAAAACAGACGACCCACACTGCGCTTCTCATGCTTCACTTTGGCCTTTGAACCCTTTCACCATCTACGCCGCAGTTTTCTTCTTGGGTCGCATCTCCGCGTCTTGCACAGTGTGAAGGAAGATCGCGTCGTTCGGGTGGCTACACACAACACATCGTCAATGTAATAAATAAATCCAACAGCTTACCACCTCACACATCAACTTCACGTACTCTTTCTCGCCTTGTTCGTACGTGTACGAAGCCGCAATCGCCAGCATCGATCCGTCGCGGTTGAAGTCCATCGCTGCGATGCTGGTCGGGTACTGCCTCAAGTGCGTTATCCTCTTCTTATTAGCGCCGTCCCACAGGTTCACAACGCCATCACAACCTCCCGTAGCGAACGTCCCATACGTCGGATGGAACGCGATGCTGTTCACAGGATACACGAGCGTCTGGTCGTCCACTTTGCCTCGGTGGCACTTGAACGCATAGCTGCGTTTGTGTGCAGGGTCGTCCTCTAGATACTCCAAAGCCACTCGACCTTCGACAGACGCCAGCGCGTATCCCGTGAGGTCGGGGAACACACCGACACAGCGCATCTGATACTTCAACGGGCTCTCCTTGCTTACGACTGGCTGGGAGAAGTTCCGGAGGTCGTAGACAGCCACTTGGCGCTCAGATGTCGCGGCTGCTAGCAGGTGACGATGCATATCCAAGCCGAAGATTTTTCCTGGCAGTTTGGCCTCGTGGATCTGGGCGTTGCCTCCATTGCGGACATCGAAGACGCGGACAGCGCCGTCCCAGCCGCCGCTGACTGCCAGACCTAGCTCGACAGAGTAGCCAACGTGTCTTACAGCCGCTGCATGCATCCCTAGCGTGGTGACCTGCCGCGTGTTGAGGTCTATCTGCTTCACAACGCAATCTAAACCACCAGCAAACGCCTCGGAGTCGCTCTGGCCGTAGCTACAGCTCAGCACAGGAGCCTGTAGCTCCACACTCGTACGCAGCTGTACTCCATCATACACGCGCAGCTTTGCGTCCCAAGAAGAAACTAACAGCTGTGAGCGCGATCCGAAGCGCAGACACGAGACGCCGTCGCTCGGCGGCGCCTGCAGCTCCAGGTCGGGAGTTGCCATCTTGGATAGTGATTGTCACTATTGAGGAAACCTTTGAATTGGAATAGAGCAGCCTCTGGAATTGCATGCCATTCCGCATTGGTCCTTACAAACGTCAAGCGAACTGTCGAGTCCGCAATGATGGAGGCTAAGCGCCGTCGCCGCGTATTCCGCACGCTGAGTCGCATGCAGGTCACGGGCTCCACATCGTCCCCAAAGACGCCACAATGGAAGCCTGAGAGCTTCCATACAGTGGCAGATCTGCCGGCGCCCTTCGCCTCGACTTTGGACGCAGCAGATACGCATGAGTACGAGCACCACGCCACTTTTCACGGACGCCGTCACAGCTTCGTTGTGCTGCTGCGAGAGCTCTATGCGCTGCTGGATGGCGTCTCACAGGATCGACGTAAGCTGCGGTTGCTACTACAGGAGCTGGTGCAGCGGTTGCTGGACCCCAACGGTGTCCACGCTGAGGACGAACCTGCTGGGCCGACATTGAGTGAGAATGTTGGTCGCTATGTTGCGGCTGAGCGCGAGACGTTCTTACGACTGGGTGGCGACGAATGTCTGCTGCGTGTGCTGCATGTGCTCCGTCTAGAAGACGCTGAGAAACAGCCAAAGCGTCGGGGTGACATTCGTTCACTATGGGAGACGCCTGTACCTGTGACTATCGCGCCGACCAAGAGCGGCACAGACGCATCTCTACGAAAACACGCACTGAATGACACGATGGCAATTCTCAGAGAGCTCTGCTACTTCTCGGTGAACCTGGCCGTGCAGCTCTGCGACAAAGACGGTCTGGTGGTGTATTTATTCCAGCTCATGGGCGACGTCCGGTTCTTCGACAACGCGTCTGGACTCGTGGAGGAGATTCTGGCCGTCAGGAACGAGGCGTTCGACCTCACTCGTGTCCGTACGTGGAGATCTATGAGGATACTTGGAACCTACAACTGACGTTAAGTGTATACTGCAGCCAACTTCCACTCGGTCATGCAGTCACTGTCATCCAGGCAGCTGGCGTTCTTCTGTCGAGTGCTGGCACTCGTCGTGTTTGAGCCCGAAGACCGTCGACTACTGGAGACTGCCAGTGCGTGCACCGTGTGTTTCTATTGTCGCTTTATTGAATTAATTTTAAACGTTTTGTTGCCTGGACAGAGGTGATCAAGTCGCTGGAGCTGCTGAAACTGCGTCGCAACCGCATGATGCGTGCAGACAACATCGTGGACCGCAACCACGCGCTGATCTTCAACTCGCCGCTGGTCCTGCAGCGACTGCTGCGTGTCTTGCAGGTGCAGAATTTTTACTTCGCGTTGAACCCCGTGTACGAGCCTTTCTCCTCCGAGCTGGCCACCTCTGCTGAGTTCGCGACTCTGCTGTACCACACTAGCGACCGCAGTGACTGGGACACGATCGATCGCCTCGTCACTCACCCCGCGCTCGGATCTTCGGGAGACCTTACCATCCTGCACAGACATCACGAGGCGAGAGCAGCAGCTGCGAACGCTGCAGCAGGAGAAGACGCCAACGCAGCGCCTTCTTCCGCACAGCCGCCTCAGACCCCGTTCTCGGTGGAGACGGCTATCCTGCGAGACTTGATCTTCCGGAACCGCACGCCAGACCAGCGAGCGCGAGAAGATGCCGAAGCTCAGGTTATTATGAAGTCTATCGTGCTGGCTCCGTACCGCGTCGAGGTGCTTTTTGTGCTCTGCACCCTGCTGAACGGCAAACGCAAGGTCGACTTCCAGGAGCGACTGGCCGAGATGGGACTGGTCACGACGCTCAACCTCATGTTCGACAAGTTCCAGTGGGACGCCACGGTCACGCCCAGTCCGGCGCACGAGCCCTTACACGGACCTGGCTGTGACTGCAGTCTGGACGCGTCGTTGAAGATCCAGTTCTTGCGCTTGATTCACAACTTTTGCGACCGCGACTACAGCGACAATAGCAGCAAGTTGCTGCTGCTCAGTGAGCACGAGATCCAGCTGATGAATGAAGGCGGCTCGACGTCTATCAACCTCGACCACGCGGACAAGGGGCTGCTGTCCAAGATCATCCACGCGCTGATAGAGCAGCCAGTGGACTCGATCTACCGCTTCTGGCTGGCCTCGTGTGTGGAAGCCTTCTTGCGGCGTGCGGCTCCGAGTGAGCAGCTCTTCGTTGCGCGTACACCTCTGCTGAAGGCGCTGATAACGGAGATTCTCAGTGGAGGCGCGTACCGTTCGCAGGGCAGCTTCCAGTCGGCCTTTGATCTGCTTGGAGAGATGACCAAGGGCAACCGAGAGACGCTGCAGCTGTTCCATGGACTTCTGAGCAACACCCAGTTCGCGACTTTCATGGGTACGCTCGATTCGTTCCACTGATTGGTTCTTAACTGGTATTTTTAACTGACGCACTCTTGTGTGCTCGTGGTCGTACAGAAGTGGTCATTTTGAACTTGGTGGACTCGAATGTGTTCATCCGGTCGATGCTTTTGTCGTGTGAGAAATTCGCAAAGCAGCCGGAGAGCGGGACGTTTGGCGTGGCTGACGACTCCGAGATGGACCGCATGAGCGAGTTCCTGGCTGTGAATCTGGTGCGGCTGCTGCGTGATCTCATGACGATCGTGACGATGGACGACATCAACCACGAGAACATTTGCTGTTTGAACACCGCCATCGTGATCCTCGTGTTCCAGCATCGTCGGGAGCGACTGCCAGCGATCCTGGAGGCCCTGCGCGACCACGAAGACGTGTCCGGCAAGCAAGGATACGTGTGTGACAACTTTCGAGGCTTGCTGTGGTTCTGGATCCAGTATTACACACCGCGTGGCCGTGACCGCCTGGGACTGGAGCATTCTAGCGAAGTCAAGTTCGAAGAGTGGCGACATGTCGTGTCGCTCTTGTGTGCCGACGACGGGTCTGGCACTGCTTTGCTCTCGACTCCAGCACGCCTTCCACCGTCGCCTTACTCGCGACTGTATGCTACTACCCGTCGAGAGAGACGCTCTTAACTGAACGTTGCTACATCAAGTAGTGCGATGATACCCTGTGGACTTGTTTTGAGGCAAATAAAAGGAAGAGGAACTGACTTATCTGACGGGAGCTGTTGGTATGCTGGTGGAGGGTGGCATTCGACTAGTTTGTGTCTTTCCTTGTGGCCAATTCTCGGATGCTACTGTAGCCACTTTTGGGACCGCCCGTGTTCAGCGGCCACCTTTTCTAGTCCCAGTGAATCGGCCACGGCGCAAGCTGTAGGTGGCCGATGGCCTTGAGATTTCCACTTTCCGCCGTCTGCGACTGCGTCTGTTTTTGCGTGGCGATGCATTCGTGTGGTTCCGAGTCGCTAAAAGTTCCAACTGCAACATCCAGAACTATTGCTCAACGTGCAGATCGTTGTTGCTGTTGAAGAACTTGCGTTATTGAAGTGGGCGCTGTGATTGACGAAGCTAAGACCAGAGTGTAGTTAGCTTGTTGTTAATAATTAAATTTATCAACAAGACTGCTTACTGAGTTACAGTTTTAAAGGTAGACACAATAACTGACGATCTGCGTGTGAATCGGCATCACTGATTCACGCATTTTCCCGGGCTGGGCTTTATCACTTATGCAGGGGCGGAGGGCTCAATTTGGGCCGGGTTTGTTGATTGCACTGCGACGGGTTCTTACGAGTATACAAATGAAAAGTATACGGGTCAGCAACGAGTAAAAATGGAGTAGAATTGGAGCACCAAGATAAAGAGTGGACCTCACCTCTTATAATGAATAATGGTGGCATTGATGCTTTTTACTATGGCAAGTCATTACTGTCAAACTGTACTGTGAAAAGTGAATCTTAATGCTTCATTCGATAAGACATTTGAGAGAATCCGTCAAAGTAAGTACGATCGGTGAGCGCGTAGCCGGCGACGGTCCCGGATAAGCACGAAACCCGGATGGGGTGGTCGCAGAACGGTGGATAAGTGGGTGGCCACCGACCATTCGCCTTTACCCGCCGTTTGCTCATTCGACCTCATTCGCAAATCTGCCTCGGAGACAGCAAGCACCTCGAAATGCTGCCACTACTGCCCGACTACCGATATTGACACCTCGCCTATTTCTGTGCGATCGATGAGTTGTGTACAGTACACATACTAGCCGACCGACACTTTGAGACTTCAACATCGGCAAGGCATCCACCATACTCGTCCTCAAGCGTCTCGCCCCGACAAGACCAAGTCTGTCTTCAAGTGTGCTACACGCTGTACTCCACGCTGTGCTTCACGACACCCAAGCTGCTTGGATTCTGAAACAAAAAACACGGATCGCGCTTGCTCAAGTGGTACATCACCTGGCAGCTGACTAGACTGCTGTCAGGTCTCCATGTTCCATGGGTACACCTGGGCTGTCACGTTGACTATCGCTGGTCTGGCCAAGATATCCGGATGCAAGACACGGCGCCAACGATCAAGCCACCTAAGTGCCTGGCACCATGATCTTCAGCGTGAAGTCATTCAAGGAGTGGAAGCTGTGGGGGCCTCCACAGTAATTCTCGCTCATGCGTCGACCTATTCTTCCAAGCCATGATATCGACGTGCAGGCAAGAGTGACTGATGGCTGCTCGTGGTTGCAGCTGCGTGTACAGCAGTGACCACAGTGACCGCAGTAACACCAAGCTGCTCATGATCGACACTAGATCCTGTCATTTATGATGGGTTGGTGGCACTGTGCTGTGACTTGTACACCTTATGGCTCTATCTCTCAAGCTTAGAACGGTCATGGTCCAAGTGTAAGCGCGAACACGTTGATGCTGTCGGCAACATTACGACAAGCCCCCGAGTGCTGCTGGTATTGCTTCCGCTTCCAATTCGTCGGTGTATTTAGTACCAACGGTATCAAGCTGTCAGTGACACAAGCTCTAATGCCACTCCAAAGTGATCAACGTTGTCGGTGCCAGTACTGCCAAACTCATCGTTGCCAATGCTCTAGCTCTATCAGCTTACCGGCACTAGTGCTGCCGCTCTCAAGCCGTGGATGCTGCCGTTACCAATGCTGTCACTTCCATGTTGCTCGTGCTATGCCTGTCAGCGCTACCAAACCCGCGTCATCAATACTGCCAGTGTCAGCTTCACGACGTCGTTGGTGCTGCCAGGAGTAACAATAATGCTGTCACTTTCAAGCTCAGTGCCGATGCCGCCCCTACCAAGTCGTCGGCGTGGCTGGGGCCAATGGTGTTACATTAAAACTATCGTCGCTGGTGTTGTCGGCACCAATGCTTCTTACTCCAAGTCGTCGCTGTTATCGACAAGCTACCAACTTCACGTCGTAGGTGCTGCCGCCGGCAGCTTGCCAGCACCTTGCAAACCCGGCTGGTCGCATCATGCTGTCCACATCGATGGAGGCGATGTTGTTGCACCTTCTCCAACGAGATACGTGGCCGGTATTGCTGTCGTTGCTGCAGGTACGACGTCTGTTGGCGAGTCCTTGCTGCGTAGTGTGTGGGCTCTCAGGAAACGATGATCGCGCACATACGCAACAAACTTCGCACATCGCTGTCCTCGTGTCGCGTGTGGTCGATTCGCGTTAGTGTCAGACCCGCGCCGTCCTCAACGGCGTACTGTGTCGTTTGGCCCCGCAAATGTGTAGCAAGCCTCGCACTTCACATAGCCGATCGAGTGGATAATCTGCAGCAGCTTGCTGCAGTGCGACATTCGTGTGATGCACCTTTGACACCGTGACTGGGTACGGAGCACGGAATGCCGTAATCTGTGCGTGGGCGGTGTCGTGGCCAATATACACAACTTTGCGCTGCCCACGCTCGATACTACTGCAGGTAACTGGCAGCACGCCATGAATTCTGCTTTGACGTGGCGGTGGTCGTGTTACCAAAAGTCCTTAGCACTTCAATCGCTCTTTGCCGGTTGCCTGCTGTTGATGCAGTAGTAGGCGGTATAACTCGCTGTACGCTGCACGCTCGTCGCCTCCGTGTAAATGTGTTGTTGCGCGACATTGCTCGGCTGCTCTGATAACTCACGAACACGTGAGACGGTACTCTGTGTGATGTGGGCCACACAATGTGGTCCACATACTGCAAACATCGAAATCGATATTGGAGTTCATCCATTTATAATACTCAGGGGAAGCTGAAGTATCGCGCTCTGGGGTAACTAACTCTGAGGGGGAAGGAGTGCGAAGTATGCTCGGGATTTCGGCTGCAGTGGATGTTGAGTCGTCTGTCCAGGCCGCAGTCGCTTGTCATCCGTGACAGGTGGTGGATAGCAAACAACTGGTGCCTGGAGCCATCGTGATCCTCGTCACAGGCGACGTTGCGGGCTGTTCACTCCATGTAGTGTCGATCTCAAGTGCGACGAAATGCTGCGCACGGGCGTGGTCGCTATGTACGAGCCTTTCTCTTCCGAGCTGGCCACCTCTGCTGAGTTCGCGACTCTGTTGTACCACACTAGCGACCGCAGTGACTGGGACACGATCGATCGCCTCGTCACTCACCCCGCGCTCGGATCTTCGGGAGACCTTACCATCCTGCACAGACATCACGAGGCGAGAGCAGCAGCTACGAACGCTGCAGCAGGAGAAGACGCCAACGCAGCGCCTTCTTCCGCACAGCCGCCTCAGACCCCGTTCTCGGTGGAGACGGCTATCCTGCGAGACTTGATCTTCCGGAACCGCACGCCAGACCAGCGAGCGCGAGAAGATGCCGAAGCTCAGGTTATTATGAAGTCTATCGTGCTGGCTCCGTACCGCGTCGAGGTGCTTTTTGTGCTCTGCACCCTGCTGAACGGCAAACGCAAGGTCGACTTCCAGGAGCGACTGGCCGAGATGGGACTGGTCACGACGCTCAACCTCATGTTCGACAAGTTCCAGTGGGACGCCACGGTCACGCCCAGTCCGGCGCACGAGCCCTTACACGGACCTGGCTGTGACTGCAGTCTGGACGTGTCGTTGAAGATCCAGTTCTTGCGCTTGATTCACAACTTTTGCGACCGCGACTACAGCGACAATAGCAGCAAGTTGCTGCTGCTCAGTGAGCACGAGATCCAGCTGATGAATGAAGGCGGCTCGACGTCTTTCAACCTCGACCACGCGGACAAGAGGCTGCTGTCCAAGATCATCCACGCGCTGATAGAGCAGCCAGTGGACTCGATCTACCGCTTCTGGCTGGCCTCGTGTGTGGAAGCCTTCTTGCGGCGTGCGGCTCCGAGTGAGCAGCTCTTCGTTGCGCGTACACCTCTGCTGAAGGCGCTGATAACGGAGATTCTCAGTGGAGGCGCGTACCGTTCGCAGGGCAGCTTCCAGTCGGCCTTTGATCTGCTTGGAGAGATGACCAAGGGCAACCGAGAGACGCTGCAGCTGTTCCATGGACTTCTGAGCAACACCCAGTTCGCGACTTTCATGGGTACGTTCGATTCGTCCCACTGATTGGTTCTTAACTGGTATTTAAACTGACGCACTCTTGTGTGCTCGTGGTCGTACAGAAGTGGTCATTTTGAACTTGGTGGACTCGAATGTGTTCATCCGGTCGATGCTTTTGTCTTGTGAGAAGTTCGCAAAGCAGCCGGAGAGCGGGACGTTTGGCGTGGCTGACGACTGCGAGATGGACCGCATGAGCGAGTTCCTGGCTGTGAATCTGGTTCGGCTGCTGCGTGATCTCATGACGATCGTGACGATGGACGACATCAACCACGAGAACATTTGCTGTTTGAACACCGCCATCGTGATCCTCGTGTTCCAGCATCGTCGGGAGCGACTGCCAGCGATCCTGGAGGCCCTGCGCGACCACGAAGACGTGTCCGGCAAGCAAGGATACGTGTGTGAGAACTTCCGAGGCTTGCTGTGGTTCTGGATCCAGTATTACACACCGCGTGGCCGTGACCGCCTGGGACTGGAGCATTCTAGCGAAGTCAAGTTCGACGAGTGGCGACATGTCGTGTCGCTCTTGTGTGCCGACGACGGGTCTGGCACTGCTTTGCTCTCGACTCCAGCACGCCTTCCACCGTCGCCTTACTCGCGACTGTAT